TATATATATATATATATATATATTCTAATGTTTTTGAAAGAAGTCTCTTATGTTCTCAAAAGCCTCATGGAATATAACATTTGTACTGTATTTTTGATCAAATAAATGCATATTTGTTCAAAATTACAGTAAAAACTGTAATCTTTTGAAATATTATTACATTTAAAATAACTTATAGATTTTTCTATATTTTTTTCTCAATGTTTTTGGAAGAAGTCTCTTATGCTCAAAAAGGCTGCATGCAGCATTCAATGTTTTTTTTTTTTTTACTGTATTTTTGATCAAATAAAAAAAGAAAATACTGTAAAATTGTGAAATACCATTACAAGTTAAAATGACTTTTATACATACACAGATTTTTTTGTAAGAATTTTTTTAAATGTTTTTTTTCAAGTATTTTGGTTGCCATAGCTGCATGCAGTGTGCAATATTATTATTTTTTACTGTATTTTTGATCAAATAAATTCATTTGAGATAATGCATTTAATTGTGAAATATTATTGCAATTTAAAACGAAAATTTCAAAATGTAATTTATTCCTGTAATGCAAAACTGAATTTACAGCATCATTGTTCCAGTCTTCAGTGTCACACGATCCTTCAGAAATCATTCTGATAAGCTGATTTGCTGCTCAAGAAACATTTCATATTGTTATCAATGTTGAAAACAATTGTATTAATTTTTAAAATATTTTTATGGAGACTGTGATAGACTGTGATAGACGAATATAAACTTTTTTGCTGTTTTTGTTTTGTTTTGTATATATAGAAGTCATACATGTTTGGAACAACATAAGCTAAAGTAAACGATGACAGAATTGTATAGAATTTTCATTTACCCTTTTTTCCTCCAGTGTATTAACTGTATTTGTTGCTAAAATTGTAACAGACAGATTAAATCTGTCTGAGATTGAACCATCCAGCCTGTAAGTGGTTACATGAAATCTCATTCTCTCTTCTTGTGTTTTTGGTACCCAATGATACTTCTGCAATCTGTTCTGAATGTGACATAGCGGGATCATCTAATCAATACATGAAAACGCCTTCTGCGGCCCCTGATTCAGACTGACAGAGTTAATTAGTGAACCAAAGGTCCCAATTAGTGCGATTGGGGAGCATTTGGGGGACATATTGTGGAACACACGCACATATTGCTCAGGGAGGCTTCAATTAAGAGAGAGGCAGTGCTCACCCGACGGCAACGCTGACCCGGTGACATCCTGTTAAACCTCACTTCCTGTCAGCTGCTCAGTGCTCAGTGACAAGCAAAACACAGCTGAGACGGGGCTCACACGTGAATATAACGTGAGGGGTCCGGGGCCTCGGGTGTGTAGTTAAGCACTCCCATTAAGACTCAATCCATATGGGCTGTTCTGAATTCTAATGAGGTGATAAACTCCTCGTGTCAATTCCATTATGAGCAAATTCATTTCTTGATTATGTGTAACAAAGTGACGAGACAAACTCTCTCCCATGAGACTTTATGCCATTTATGATTTTTTTCCCAGTCCTCTAAACTATGAGACAGCTAACTAAGATCCTGATTTTGACCAAATGAAGCCCAAAATTCTAGTAAATTTAACATTTCAACATACTTTTAAAAAAGAGAAACAAAGGGAAAAAAAGTTTAAAGCTATTATATATCGTTTAAAATCTAGAATGTTTTCTCATCATCCTATTTATTTATCTAAATAATATATAGTATAAATAGTATACACACACACACACACACACACACACACACACACTAATATATACTATATACATTTATTTATTTAAAGTTCTTTAATTTCATTAAATATAAAGTCAAATATTTGTCAGATAAAATATTCTATACATTTTAAAAAATAGTTCTAAAGATGAGAAATATAGGTTTAGGAAATATGCAAATAGTAGCTACTTTACAGCACTTACATAAATATTTATTTATTTAGTCAGACATTTTTTATTCATTTTACAAGTATATAAATTAATCGTCATTATTTACAGTTCTTAAATTTCATGAAATATAAAGTCAAATATTTGTCAGATAATTTTTTTTTTCTGACACACACATATAATATAGGCATACCAAGTGTACTTTACAGCATTTATTTAATCCATAAATTAGTTTATTGTGCTGTGTGATTATTGCTTTTGGCGGCCGCCTACAGGCCGTCAGTGTAATGACAGACACTTTCGCGTTTCATCACAAATCTTGATCCTTTGCGGTTGCCGTACTACGCAGTGTAATATGAAAAACTAACTATTTTATGCACATTTTCTCTTTTAGCGCAAGTTACTGGTTTATATCCCTCTTAAACTAATTAATAAATTATCCTCACTTTGTTTAACGCGGTGTTTATGAATATTATTTTGACGCGCTGGTGAGGTCAGAGTTCAGGCCAAACTGGTGTCGTCATGCGCTGAAGATGGCGGACGGGTGAGTTTACAGCACATAAATGTTCACTTTGTCGTTTTAATGCACGACATAAATAATATGTTGTCATTTAGCAACATTAATTTAACTCTAAAGAGTGCACATCCGCATTAAAGAGATGTTTGTGACCTTTTTAAATGATGAATTTTATTGGCGGATGTGAAGGAGGAAGTCAGACGGGTTTGTTTACAAAAATATCACAGAGTCATGAACAAAAACACACATGTTACAGCCATCGTTATTAATTGTAATATTCATATAAACCCATCTAATATAACATAGACAGGGCATAGATCATGTATATCACAGTAAAGGGCTGACATGGCATGGTCAGATATTGAAATGAAGGACTCATAAAGCTCGTATGTCACAGATTGTTCCAGACTGCCAGTGTGGACAGCTGGAGTGATCAGACTATTCACACACATTATGATTTATTGATGATCGATTATATGTCTCATTCCTATGCTGTACTTTTTAATATCTATATCAAATATGCCGGAGATCAAATCTAAAAAAAAAAGATTTTTTTAAGAATTATAGTTACGATGATATAACATTGTTTATTTTCTTGACAGTGTGTAAATAATCAAGTTATAATTAATGAAGTTTAAGAGCCAGAGTTTGACCAGAGGACAGTTCTTTAGAAAGAGAAATGCTTCCTTAAATTACAACACAGGCATATGTTGTTGTTTTTTTAAGTTATAGAGATCTAAGGATACTGCGTAACAGAAGTTACCCGCATGTATCATTTGTGATAGTTACTACTTTACTTTTACTTTTACTTTTAGTCATTTAGCAGACGCTTTTATCCAAAGCGACTTACAAATAAGAAAAAGTAATTAAAACTAAAAGCTAAAACTCTATAAATACTATATATATACACATTTAAGAAAATAAAAGAAATTAAATAAAAATGACAAATGCATACAACATTTCAAAACTAAACATTTAAATGAAAACAAAAAAAAAATAAAGCTAAAAACAATTCAAAATATTAAAATAACAAAAGGTATGAGTATAATAATGATTCTAACATAACACTAAGCCAAACACCAAAAAACAACTACATATGTGTATGTACAGCCACACACATATACATGTACATAGGCCTATATATAAATACATTCAATATATATATATATTATTTCA